TGGTTAGCGTTTTTTTTAGCGGTTCAGTATTCTACGGGATGAGGACGCTAACTCCATGCCCAACCGTCCTGCTTTATCCGGGCTTGGGACCGGCAGCAGCCCCCGAAGGGACTTCAGGCAGAGTTTCATTGTAACGTGGACTACGCTAAACTAAATTAATTAAATCCCATCCTTTGCCTCCTATGACAGTTACTTAATTTAGCCTATGGGAAAACAAAACATATTTTTACAGTTATTATTAGCTATTATCTTAATGAGCTGGTTTATAAAATGAAATTTAGTTTCGAAACATCACGTAAACAATTATAGTTTGTTTTTCCGCCCAATTTCACTACTGTCATGACTTGATATTGATTCGTTGAATTTCGCTTTACGTCTGAGTGTGTTTTTTTGTTCGAATTTATATGACGGTCATGTGTTTGCTGCACCAATATTATCAACCATTCTTATAAATGTCGAGACATTGCATGCTAACTGGATTCATATTGTACAATTAGATAATTGATTACAATTATACTACAGTTACTTACATGTTTATCAATGTGTTATGTCATCATCAGAATTCTGCTTCAGTATTCAATTATCTATAATCCATTGGGTTTTTGTTCGACATTAAGTGGTTAGTCTAATGATACTTGGTAGTGAATGGAACCAAGTCTGTTAATTGCAAAGTATCTATATACGCATCAATAATAACAGAATATATCACCTAGTTGAAGTAATAATTTAATTATTTATTGTATTATTGAACTGATGATTAAAACACTCGACTTTTATTAATTTATATCAAACAAATTCACATACGTATATGTACACCAACATAGTAGACTGCATAATATTCAAGTGATTTCACCCATAATGCCTAGCACATTAATTATTATAGTCTATAGTTAAAGACCATACATCATATAATATGTTATCTATTAGTTTTGTACACTTCCTGTTTGGGAAAAGCCTTGTGCTTAATTTCTTATCTTTAATTTAATCAATGTTGTTTCTTCAAGTCGAATTTCAATAACTAGGCCACAGGTTTGAATTCCACTCTGTCAGATAGTATAATTAATGTTTTTTTATCTCCCTATTATTTGAATTGAAATATTATTTCGTACACTTTATTTCACGATTTCATTCGTCCTTTTTTAATTTCTTTGGATGTGTTGCTGTCGTGATCCATGGCTACTTAAACTTATGCATCCATATCAGTATAAAGTTCTGCGTTATGACTTACTGATTTCATAACAGCTGACATTGTAAGTCGTGACATGAGTTTACGTGATAAAGTACAATATCCAGTAAATAGTTCACCCACGATTTTTCGAAAACAATCAAAGATAACTTTATGTGTATTATTATGATTGATTAAGAGCTATGTTATCTAGCAACTTTACTGCTAAAAGCCAATCGTTTCTACGGAAATGCCATTTTCCGTTCATTATCATTAAATATGAACAGCCATTTTTACCTCACCGTCAACGATCTTATTCCACGATGACACTGTGTATTGAATTACTATGAAGTATTAGTAACATTCAAACAGGTTTGATGTTTATTTTTAATGTTTCTTTTTGAATTGTATACTACTGTAAACCTGATAATTATAGCATTATTGTGTGGGATTCATATTTAAATATTGATCCGTTTTGTACGTGATGATAAAGTTTCCATCCAGCTTTAACAAATAGTATTTTTTGTTCGAATGTGTTTGTGTGAAACAATTTAATTCTAATAATTCAAGACCATGAATTACTTGTTTTTTTGCAACACCTACGGTCTATTGATAACTGAAAAGAAATTATTTTACTCTTGTGATTACTTTTTTTTAAAAATTATTACTATCCAAGTGTGATATCAAACGGAATGTTTTACCAATAACTGTGTGTTGTATGATAAATATACAATTGCCATGAATTTATTCAGTCAACTTTTCTCTACGTTTATACTTCAGTGACAGACAACTGATTAAGACAAAGAGATGAATAAAAGTATATTGATATTTCAATCGACATTCGCTCTAATATTTTTAACTATTTTACTCTAATCAAGTAGTGATGTTGATTGAAGTTGAAAGAAAGTAATATAATGAAGTAAAATATACAATAGTAATTAGAAAATTTAAGCTTTATAATGCTAACAATATCTCAACATTAATATAAAGACCTGTCTGGTCTCCGAGAACTTGCTTTACCTGTGGCATAAGTAAGATGGTTTTCTCTTGACCATGTGGGTGTGTATATCATACAATTATCTACTGTGTTTTGTGGAAAATACCCTATAAAAGGAGAAGTCATAAGTAGGTTGCAGTTTTTCGATCATACGTTTCCTCCGATCGTTGCATAGTTATGGTACAACCACCAAGTGTGTTGCACTAATTTTATATGTGATGTACCTAGTAACACGATGAGAGACTATGAAATTTCATCGACTGCACTGGTTAAGACATGTTCCTACCCATCACCTACTCCAATCCATATCACTAAGTGACTAGCATTCACGTTCATCTCGAAACAAACTCCAAACAACAAAGTTATATACAGCTTCAAGGTTACAAAATTACACGTAAATTAAAAAATTAGTAATGAGGTCAATTGATTGTATTGCCTTGAAAAATAGATGCAAAATTCTGGTGTAGTTTTTTCCTCTGAAATCTATGGTTCGGTCGTGGAGCTTTCATCGTTCCTCTGAAGAACATCAACAGCACCAACTTCAGATAGAAGTGAAGTGTTCGAATTTATCCACATATGACTCACAGCTCTTGTCTTGTAGACCTCGATCTTGATTGATTATAGTTGACCTTTAACCTGTTATTGCTTACTTGTATCTCCCATTGGTTTGATTTTTGGTTCCAGATTTGTCTATGGTTTTTCTGATTGGTGTTCATTGATAGCTGATTGACTTGAGTTCCAAGCTTCTTAAAATTCTCTGAGGTTTTTAGAATTCCCTTTACCCAAGATCCCAACATTTTTCCAGTTTGATTTGTGTCTACATGCATTGATATAAACTAGGATACGTCATGGCCTATAACCGCTAATTGATGTTCGTGCAGGCGAAGATGAAGGGGGCGTCCACTTTATCCGATGTAGTGTTTTTTGCGGTTGAAACAATTCATTTTGTAGATGATGTTCGGTTTTTCTTTTGTCCTTTGGTTCAGAATTCTAACATCTACAAGTCATACGTTTAAGTTAAATAGGAAAACACCTTAGTTCCATAATTCATTATCGGAAATTCCATTTGTAATGAAGAATTGGAATTGTGAAATTATATAGCTGTGTTATATCAAAGATTTTCATTACTGCACATAACTTACATAATGTAAAATTAGTTATTAAGCTTGTTAGAATTTACTGTTGCTTAGCAATTTCAGTTATATCAAAATCATTACAAATCTATACAAAAAAAATTTATTTACTCCATGTTCAGTTAATTTTTTTGGAATGATGAAAATTATTAATTGGAGAATATGCACGACACTTTATAGTATAGAAGCATATTTTCTGCCTCAATTATTCTCTTTGAACTATATTTCTTATGTTCAAATTCTATTTTCATTGATGTTAAACCATTTTTAATTTTCATCTTAAGCATTTTCTGCCTCATTTTACTATTGTAAGTTTTGACAAAGTGAACGGATGAAATATTCCTGTCAGTTTCTACATTGTGTATAACTGACTAAGTTGTAGTGTACAAGTAATATGATTTGAAATTAACCATAACCTTTATAGATATATGTAACAATTGTTTATCTATGGTATATTGAGTATCGTCTAATTTTTCATATACTGTTTTTTATACTTATATTCCTCTTACTTTAATTTTATCTTGGTTTATATATAATAACTCTTAAATAACTGCCGTTTCCGTTCTACGGAGGTTCTAATTAGTTCTCTGTTAAACTTTGTATTCTGCTAACTAATATTTCTTAGCTTATACGCTAGAATTTCAGGTCATCAGTTTTATTTTACGACTATAAACAACTGAAACAAGATCTTGGAACTAAGAAAATCATTTACTCATATTTCGTTTTCCGCTAAATGATTAAGTTCGTTATAATGGATACTATCCATTCAACACGGGGTTTATCGAGATAATTAGTTTCGTTGCAGTATAGCGGGGTCGTTGTTGTTCACTTCTGGGGTGTCCCATACCGGGACGAAATAGTTTTCCAATGCTTCCAGGTCTTCAATAATTGTCTATCTTATATGAATGAAATTCATTCAAAATAGTCCTGTAAGGTACACAAATCATTGTATTATATTATTCAATCAATCTTTTCAAAATACCATTGTTCACTTTACCCTATTCCCCTTAAATTCTTTTTTTTTTTGTTAAACGTAATGTCATACTTGCCCACATTCTTTTTGGTTGCGTTTTACTATTTACTACTATTAAGTAGTTCACTTTTTCACCAGTCATTTTTATGCTGTAAATAGTGCCATTTAGACTCTTCCAAGAGCCTCTTGCTATACATGTACATTATTTTGTTTGAATATACTGCCCACCTAAATATGGTTACATTTTTCCATTTCACAAACATTTAAAATACGTGGGTTCGAGTACTTGATCACTTCGATAATCTTCAAATGTATATTTCATCTTTCCAGGGTAAAACATTTTAGTCTATCGTTTTCTGATATTATTTACTTTAAAGTTGAGTTGCTATGATAAACTATATATCCCTTTGGTTAAGTCAATAGAATCTTGGTTAATTAGTTGTAAATCATTAGTTCTCCATTTCATATCCCCTAAAAAACGTCTTTTAGCTCTTTTATTGCCGATGATTGAAGTTGAAGAAACGCTATTTGGTTTAGGAATCTAACTAACAATCTTTGTATCACTTGTCGGTACGTTCAATACAAGTCTTCATTTCAACCCATCGATATTTAAAAAGCCCTTTCAAAGTTTTCTTCCTACTTGGGATATAGTTAGATTATATGTTTGTGATAATACATATTACTGAGACGAACATTTTGACTACTTAACATGTTTGTGTCATTAATTCGTAGGCCGCCGTACGTTATTTCCCTGAACGTCCTCAGAGGGATTTTATCAATCACCAGGGAACTAGAAGTAATCCTTCTCCAAAAGATGGGGATAACAAACCCGAAAAGCAAAGTAGTCAGAAATCAGATTTGATTATGCGGTCGAAAATAAATTCATGTAGTGCTTTTCCTTCAAAATGGGTAGATTCGAAACTACATTCACGTATTCCAACTCCTGATTCATTAGAGTCATCCATGTCTTTTAATAACTCTCCTCAACTTTCACCAATACCTAGCTCAGATTTGATCAGTTTCGATAAATCTTTTCTGTCTACTAATGATATTGCTAATCCAACTGTTGACAAAACCTTTCAAACTGTATATTCACCTCGACATAATCCAGTCGCCGGAGATAATGAATCACATTATAGTTTAAGAAATATCTCTAATAATTCATCAATTAGAAATGTACGTAAAAGATTACATTCATCCAATCGTTTGAAAATTTCCCCGATTTCCTATGATACATCTACGTCTGACAATAGTAATAATCTTCTAATTAATACTGAATCATTCACTGCCGCAGACTGTGATATTAATGATTTACAAGAAAAATGTACCAGTTTACCATTGTCTTCTCATTCACCGTCATCAGCTTCATCAAGTTCTACGGTTGGATTTTTCCGTGATCCATTTAGTTCAGATAGTGAAGGGATATTAATTGATTCATCAAACATCAAGTTATCAGGACGAAGTAATAATACACAGATCAATAGATCATCAAGTTGTGGATTTCATTATTCACCTGGTTTATCATCAACTATAAAAAATAATTCTAATGCTCCAATTCACAGACTAAAATCAAAATCATCAAGAGGTCGTAAAACTCCATGGTGGGATAGAACTCGTGGAAAAAAATCCAAATCCAAAGTTACTAATATTAGTAACAACATTCAATACGATAAACATAATGAAAATTTAACAGATGAGAAGAATTCACTAGTAAGTTTATCATTACAGTGTATCATGAATGGGTAAACATCAACAGTTTTCAGATGTTTGATATTCGTTAAATGGAATATATTTTTATTCCCTCTATTTCTTATTAAGAATGTTAATATGATCAGATAAATGTTTGTGTGTTGTGTCTTACGACACGTTCAAACTTATTGAGTCGCACTGTAACCATCTTTGTATTAATTGTATCCTTCAGTTGTTATGACTCGTAACATATTTCTTTTAGTTTCATAAATTAATCTTTCTTTAAAAAGGGTTGCAGTTCTGTTGATTTAAGTTTCCATTGCCTTCTCTCTAGAGGATTTGTTTTAAGTGTCTTTTTCCTCTCGCTTTTCTCTACATCTATATATATATATATATATATATATATATATATATATATATATATATATATATATATATATATATTGGAATCTATTACTTCACGCTCTAACTTCCAACTTTATATTTGTTTGCCGAAATGGTAGTTTGGTAGTCTATTTGTTTCCGTAACAACGATCAAACTCACAAATATATGTACACCTATTTATAGGCAACATTGTTTATCTGTGTTAGCTGTATTAAAATTGTAAATGAAAACAGATCATTATTCTGTTTTTCTGAATCCTATGAAATTTAAGAAATTCGCTAGCACTAAAATACTGACTCCATTGATATAACATGCGTAAAATGAGGCTATACAGGGAATCCTGTAACATATGTTAAACTGTCATTTTATGCTGTTCAGTAGCATTAATTATTCATTACAATCGGTTTTCTGAACAAAGTAATTCCTCCATCAAATATACAGGTTTATATTATAGACTTTGAACTATGATAATGCTTGTGATATCTACTGATACATACTACTTAGCTGGACAAACCAAGCTCTTAACTGTAATGCTGCTTATTATTAATATTATTTTAGTGTTTACTTGAATCTATTTTCTTCGATTGTTGGTTTTCAGGTTGAAAATGATTATCGTCAATTTATCAACACACTGTCCAAGTGAGTTTCTTTTCCATTGGATGTGCGTGGATTACTCATCGTTTCATTTTGATGCCTATAAGCATTTACATTCATCATGTGTTATATATACACATCCTCATAAAAGATTATTGTTACACCTGTCGGAGAAATAAAGTTGCTTTAATTTGCATCGTGCTTCAAAATCATTAAAGAAAATTCATTTGGGTCTATGCACATAACATTGACTCATGCCTGTTACTTTTATTTGTATGCAATATACATGCATTCCAGCACAACTGAATGCCAAAAAAGTATGCACTACGTAGCTAACGATATAACATTATTGAGAAGTAAATTTTTATAAAGAGTATTAAGGAAAATTACAGCAGAATTGTCACTGCCGTCTGTTATGACTCATGCCTAATAATTTATCAAGCCAATTTGTTGCACGATATTGTTGTAATGGATCGATAGATGCCAGTTCTAAACAACATTTTACATATCGCAGTTTTTCACTCAGTCCCGGTGTCGGCAAATAATGCACTGTGTAAAAGTAACTGAGAAGACATTCGTATAACGTATCCGAGCCATCCGAACACACATGGACGAACATCAGCATTACCAGCCTAATGTTGCCATTGAATTTCAGCAGTCGTTCGAACACAGAGTTGCCGTACATTTTCAAGTTGGAGGAACCAGTTTTTGCAATCATAGGGTAAAAGTGCTCTCACTGACGCGTTGTAATCCTAATCTTTTCCAAGCACAATAACATAAAAATGGTCCATATTGTTATATTCCGCTCGGATTTTTACTATACGTAGGTTGGTTGTGATGTAGTGAATAAGACTTGATTGACTGGAGTACGAGTGACATGTGGGATTGATTTTTTTATCATCTTTAATATGTAATCACATTTTAAGAAAGCGTGACTATATAATTTACCAAATTAGGTATATCTGTTGCTCATAACCGTTTACTTTTATGGTACTGTAAATGTCTGTTCATATTGTAAGGCATTGAATATTTGATGTTTAATACTACTTGGTTCAGTTTATTCAAATCTGACTGCAAATAAATCATGTACTTAGATGTAATTTTAATTTTCGGTTTTAAATATGTCCTCATCTATTATCTTCGTATTCTTATTTACGCCGTCCGTTTCATGGGTTTCCTGCTGAAGTACCGAAATTTCTCACAGCTACGACAGATCTCTTCTTTTAGACCTTCTCCAAGACTCAAACAACTACCCAGATACACAAATTTGTCGACTATTTCCAGATCTTTATCATAAAGCTTGATTATTGGCACATACTTCTAGCATTCTTAGACCATTACATTGCATTTACAATGTGCTAAGTACATGTCGTACTTATAGACATTAATTACTAAAGCGTATTGTCTTTCGATTAGTGATTCTGTTTTACTGAAATAAATGAGACAGTAATTTATTGAGATTGAAGCTCTTAATTAACTGAACCAATCATATCCATATACATCTGTATATTATGAATAATGTCGGATTAATAAAGTCTTTATATTAGAAGGGGTTTTGTGGAGATTGTAGTAATTTCAATGGTTAAGATCATGAGTCAGTTGAAGCTAGACCACCGTGGAAAACCTGGAAGCACTGGACGGCCTTTTCGTCCTATAGTTACCGACTAAAACGTTATAACACTCTTCTTACATTAATAACTAGATCAATAGATGCTAAAAAATATATTGACTCTATACTCCCTGATTTTCTCCACTTATCGCTTCAAAAACATGTTAAATTTTAGTTCTCTTGACGCATCACAATTTATCTATACGACTTTGAATTTTATTAAATTGATATTACTTAAGGGTGCTTAAAGTAGTATTCGTAGTAGTGATAGTTTCCAAGAAAATCACTCATTTTACCTGAAAAGAAACCTATCAGTTTGCTGAGAAGTTATCTTCTTTTTTATTTATCTTCTTCCTCCATTTTTTGTCTGACTGAATTATTTACGAACTTCATTTTGGACCATTCTCATCATTACTTCGTAATTTCCTCTATTTTTTTCAATCACTATACTAGTCAGTCCGTTACTTCATCTGTAATTCATGCTAACACTATCAGTAATGATCTACATAATTCTAATCAAAACATCCACAACAATGATAGTAATGCACGTAAAAATACGTCGTCACGTCTATCTAGAAAAAAGTGCACCGCAATAAAAAACACTGTAAATAATTTTACCACCAAAAATAGCAATGTAACAAAGTTTACCTTTGATCAAAATACGCATTTTGCGCTGGGCTCATCAGCAAATACGTAAGTTCTTTGTCTTTTTCTATCTTCTCAGTTCATTGTTGTTGTAAATATTTTTTGACCAGTCGGTGGATATCACAAATTGTGTCTTACAAGTTCATTAGTTTTTTCCACTATCATCCGGATAGTGACCACAGACTAGAACTAAAAACTAAAGTCAGGTTTTCTATAGTTAAACATAGAATGGTAGCTCATTGACTAAACCATTTGACTATCACCCACTATTAAGTCTCAGGTTCGAATCCCACCCCACCTAATTCAGTTTAGTCAACCACTTAGTTATCACAAGGCCTCACATTTAGAATATGAGTCAGAACAGACTGAGTCAGTCTAAAGTTATACTTGTTGTTTCCAGATTTACCGATACTAACCGGATTTGTGTCTAAACGAATATTAGATTTTGCTATGTTGAATTTATTTCAATATATGTTCAGATTCTCGGAAATAAAATATCAGAATTAGAAAATTTAAACAGTAACATGATAAATTTATAAGCGTCATTTTGTATTTTATTGAAATAGTTTTGTTTAGAAATGTTCTTTTCGAACTGATGTCAGCTGAAAACTCAAAATAATTCATAAGAACTTTCGTCTAAATTTGGACGAATGATTTCACAGTAGTTCGGCTCCGAGTTAATGTGATGAGGAAAAATGATATTTGTAAAGATCTCAGTGTTTCACTTGGCAATCTGGCCCAAGCTTTTTCAAGGAAATATAATCAAACATCAAAATTATCGAATAAAAATACCAAGACCATCCAATCATGTTAACAACGTTGAAAGTAAAAATTTTCTGTAGTGCGTATGAGAAAATTTCGTTAAAATAACAGTTCTCCAAAGTGAGAGAAGAAATTTTATACATGATACGAGTTAAACATGTCATAACATGCATAAATAAAGATGAATGTTGACCAAGCTGATCGTTGATCATATACTAAGATAAAGTAACCGATTAGAACAGTTGAAAGTAATCGTTTTTGTTCACATGATGCGTGGTAGATTAGATTAAGTGAGATGTAATGAGTTCCGATTTACTTATTAATTATTTTTTACCATGATACAGATAATCGCATTCCATATGTCCTATTAGTTCTGTTTGGATTTACCCATATTTGTAGGGCTTCAGCTGTTAGTCTCTCCTTGTAAGAACTAAAACCTTTTTGAAGGATCTTTGTGTCATGATAATTCAGTTACCATTTGTTAGCTGTTTCATCCATTTTAGTTTATGGCAAATGGTTAGTACACGTATTCACATCCTCATACTATTTGAATCGAATCCGAGATATTCAAATCTCTCTGAATCGTCATTCTCACTGGTCAACTCATAAATTCGATGAATTCGTAATTCATCATCATTCTAATTCGATTTCAAATATAAATATATTTCTTAAATAACATTTAGCTCAATCCTGAGACTTCTCATATTAAAACTAAACAATATATATACCATACTCAATGTATCATTAGATGAAGTGATGGATCTTACCCTTGTATATTTCTTGAGTAATAATAAGTTACATGTATCTATCTTCCTTTTTTGTATATCGTTTAAATTATCAGTGGACATTTTCTCATCTGAGATTATTTTTTAATTTATTTACTTGCTTACCTCTTTTATATTCTTCCTTTCTCACTCTTGCTCCGTTATATTTTAGATGGCTTGGTATGGGTACTGCACGTGGTCGTATTTACAGTAAACATCCAGAATTATTTCGTTATATATGTGATAATGAAGATAAAGCATGGCTTGTTCAAACTGGTCTGATTATTAGTCATGGTGTCAAAGCATATTTAGTTCATGCTGAACAAGTACATCAAATTGCTACACAACAAATTAATTCATATTCATCAAAAGCTGACATCGAAAAACTAAGAACCTTTAAACTACCTTATTGGTTTCTACAAAAAGTATGAAATTATGAGTATTTTATGTTGATAATGTATGGATCCTGATTGTGCTGGCATAAAAGTGTGTTAGATAAAAGTTAGGGACAGTCAAAATAAAACGTGACGTCAGTACACAAAATCAGTGACTGATGGACTAAGCCGTGTAGGTAGATTCAGACTACTTAATTCGGGTCCACATGACTATCACAACTAATGTTTGGAGGAGACGTTGGGTAAAGCGAGTCAAAATAATGTCAATCAATTCACTCTTTGTCTTCCCCTATTTCTTTAGTTTTAAGTTTCTAAGGTGATCACATGCATAATTAAATTTTACTAACAATACTGAAATCCCTTCAGAAACAATAATTCGCGTATTTCTCCTAATTCAATTTCCCACATTACTTTCGCCTTCTGATTGATTGTTAGTGCTCTTAGTTCGCCAAATTTCTGTATGCTTGTCCTACTTGAAATATCAAGCTCCCTTCAATCCGTCTTCTTTCTCTGTCGTCCATCAGGTGTTGTTGTGATTTGTAAATTGCCGTTGTCGAATTCAGAGGGAACCTATCATATTCGAGTAGCTCAATCGTTTTTCCCCAAATCGTAGAACTGTATTAAACCCTAATGATGCGATAAAACACAAACTTATCTTATACTCTTTGTTTCACGATCTTATCCTCACTTCCAAAATCATACTATTTATGCCCAACATGTTCCATTACTACTACTGTAATCAACAAACACTTGGGTAAGGTGAACCAAAATCATACACTGGATTTGTGAAATTTGAAAAAATACATTAAATACACTATTTGCCTATCTTCCTAGGTTTGACCTTTGCAAACTCCATCGTTCTTCTGTTCCTGTTGTTATTTCGATTGGTTTCTCTTTTCCTTTCTCTTCTCTTCGTTTTCTTCTTTTATTCTACTTTGAGTTATTAATACATATACTTGTCCGTACAAGTAGTACACACCATACTACTACTAATGATATCATTAGGACTTGTATTTTTGTTAATAATCTAAACTCTGAATGGACTGATATGATGATTCGGTGAGTTGAACCCAAATACATATTTTGCAAGTTCTACGTTGATTATGATCGTCTGACCGATAGCCAGATTTTACTTGAGCTAAATTATATTTCTCAATATTTATTATTTTTTATACGATTAAACTATTATTCATTATTTTCCTGAGTTCATTGTTACAATAGTTTCATCAGTGATTCATGTCAGTTAGTATTTCCAACTTATTCAATCTAAACATTTTGTTTTCCAAATTTCACTTTTTTAACTAGTAGTTAAAACTTATTACTGAAGGCTTATTGCAATCACTCGTAGATATTGGTTATAAACACTAGATTGAATAGATTTTTTGTCTTCAACTCATTTAATCTAATTGGTTGGAGATTATGTTAGAATGAGAAGGGTATTTCTTTATTGTTCATTTGCCAAATACAATTCTTCGTGGAAAATTTGTTACAACTAATCCAGTAATTATGATGGTATGTTTATCCTTGAGCAGAAAACAAGTCAGTTATACCATAAATGGTAGGCATTTGAAAAAACAGTCAATTGGAAATGGGGAAATACTTTTATATGATAAAGACCATTTCACTGTTCTGTCAACATATAAAATGATAATTTAGAACAATTCAATCTTTATTTAGTTCACTACTACAACTGTAAAGGTAAAAGAGCCAAATAAGTCAACAGACCTTATCGTAGAAATTAGCAAATTTAAATTGCTTTTCTTGGGTTAAATATTTCCCTACCTCAATTTCTATTCCAATACACCCATAACTGAAATTCTTTTACAATCCAATTATCATTTACTCATTCTGTTGTTTATTCTATAAATCAAAAAAGGTTAAAACTGTTGCATCACGTCATTCGTTTTTCGTTCATGTTATATCAACTGAAGTAGAGTTCAAGAAGAACCAAATAGAAAAAAATAAACAGGACAATTCTTCATCAGTTGATAGACCATTTGCTTCTCCTTTTATGCAATCACCATCTTCGTCAACATCGTCTATATCCCGACCAAATATTAATCAATCCAAATCAGACAATTCAATCTCTGTGTCAAATCCGATGGAAATCAATCATTTTACTAGTCATAATATTATTACTAATATACCATCATCGAGAAAAATCCTGGTATGTCTCTATTTTATTACATTATCATGAGATCATCGGTAATCATTTTGAATTGATCCACTGAAATCTTAAGCTGTTCAAATCCATATTGAAAATTCTGTAGTCAAGTAATGTCTGGTAGGACTGTTGATGTGAACTAACAGTGTTAAATCAATAAATAATTATATAGGCAAGTGAAACTCAATGAATAGGTAATTTTCGAATTTGTCTATCCAACATTAGACTGATCAATTGCAGTCCTAAATAACCATGGGATGATACGAGTAAAACAACAACAAGTGAATTTAGATACTATGTATTCTCACTTTTTCTACATCAGATTAAAAATTTCACTAGGATTTACGTCGTTTTCGTGTCTGATTAAATTTCTGTTTTGAATATTCACTAAACGCTCCCATCTTCAAAAAGAAACTGATTTTCCTATTTATATAGAAAAACATACGTACAAATTAGTGAATTTCATTGAATTAGCCCTATTGATAACCTTATATGAAGCAAAATAACAAATATTGAGCGATTAATTAAATTTATTACATTTTTTGGTGCTCTAATTCTCCCACAAACTCACTGATTTGTATATACAATAATATGTTTTACAATGCAATATGTATATGCGAATTCAGCAAGAAAGAGAGAATATGACTTCATCGCATGTACAGATTTTTAAGATTACGATAAATAGATAGAATGATGAAAACGATAGTAATTATCATAAAATAACTATAGTATTCATAATAATGATATAATAATTGAAGACGTCATAAGAAAACGAAATAATATTGAAATGATAGGACAAGTTGTAATAACCATTAATCAGAATTGAAAGTATCACTAAACTAAACAATGAAAGCATTATTGTAAGTAAATAAAGATAGTCAATGAAATAAAGCAAATTTTCAAAAATGAGAGAAATAATAAAGGGAAAATTATCAGTTAAACGATCAATATAGCAGTGCCAAGTAAACTACTTTGTACACAAAATTGCGGTAGCAGCTGTCTCTGTATGACATGGAAGTTTCCCATTATTCCGCATATTTGTCGCTCAGAATTTTCATTGTGTGTCTTCCCATGATACTACTAAGTAGTTTGGAGCCATTCAAAATCAAATTTTTCAGCATATGTTCCGAGTTTCTGTTATATCTCCATTTTTCTAAAGTATGTGATGCTGTAGGTACAGGCGAAAAGCTTAAAGTTCAAAGAAAACATTTAAACACAGTCTCAATTCTACCCTCCCTTTTCCAACCGACACTAAAATCAGTATGATTTAGATGTATGTCTTCGGTTCACCTAGTATATTCTGTTTAGGTTTTTAACAAGGAGATAGGTGTATTAATCGATAATGTAAAAACTCGAATCATTTATATTTTGCTTTTGTCTTATGTTACGTATACCATATCACCATCTATTAATGTACAATCAAAGTAGATTGATTTCGACCTACGTTTCATGCTTGATGTTACTGTAGACCTAGTGACTTAGTAACAATGATCCATATTACTCTTGTTATCTGTTTTTTCTTCAACGATTTATATTTTTTAGAGTTTTAATTTGATTGAATCATGTCTACTTGTTTAATGTAAGTTTTTTCTGTTAAAATTTAGAATTCTCCAGTTATAGTATCCTCCTCATCACCATCATCATTGTCGTTGGTTTCTTCTTCATCTGTCACATCTAAATATTCTTTGGCTGCATCATCATCAGTGCAGGAGTATCATGACACGGACACTAATCAAAACAGTAATAATAATAATGATAATAATAATAATAGAAGTGTTCTATTAAACCGTAACTACACTAAGTCAAATTGGAAATCAACCAATTCTTATTCAAAAACTATGTCTATCGACAACACTTATCAGAATAATAATAATTTAGTGAATACAATTCAGTCACTTCCTAGTCCCAACCCACCAACATTGGAACGTTTTGATTATACTACTAATAGATAAATGGCTAGTAATATATGTGTACATGATTAATAATGTTCAGTTCTTTTTTGCTTTCAGTTAATACTTGCGTCTTTCAGTTCATTTGATTGATTTATTTTTATTCGTTCATCCAATCACTCACTTGTTGCCATTTCTTTTTCAATCCTAGAATATTCCGTTTTTTTTCTCTTTCAATAACTCGCCTTATTTCTTCTCATTACGTGATAATTTGCTTGTTGTTGATAATCTCTAACATTTTTTATTAATTAATTAAGATGATAAACTGTTTATTGTTGTTGTGGTGGTGGTTGTGATTATTGTTTCATTTGTGCATTTCAACATAAACAAACAAACAGATAACATAAGAAAGTGACTAAAGAATAGACCTATTTGAAATGTCTCTTTCTTTGTCAATGAAATTGTCATTTAATTATCCTCTTTGTTCTTTAAAATCCTATTACGTTTTCTTCATTTCTTTCGTGTATGTGCATGTGAATGTAATTGTTTTGTAATAAAAAGGAAATATTGTACATACAATAAACATTAAAATTTGGCTGTCTGTATATATGTATTTAATATTGTTACTGTAATAATGGCTGTGTACTAATTATTTTCATATTATATCATCATATATTATTTTCACTCTCGTCTGGTGTTGATTTCATCCTATTTCTTTTGTTTCCACATTATTTTCCTTTTTAATAAAGAATAATTCAGCTCATTATGTGTATGTATGGTTCTTTTCTTCTTTATCTTTCTCAAGCTCGATTTGAATCATTACATATTATAAATACACATTTCTGTTTTTGAATAATCAGTATTCATCCATATAAAATCGGCGCTGTTATTTGCTTTCGTTACGCAGTTCATACTTATATATATACTACTACTTCTACGATGTCTTTGTATACTACCTCTTTTTATTTTCTGATACTAACAATTCATCATTATGCTTTGTTATGTTTGTGTTGTGTGTACATTTTTCTTTGCCGGGTGTATGGCTTCTAGTTCACTCATTTAAAATGTTATGTTTTGCTTTGAATATATAGTCAAGATGTATTGATTCATTAATAAGTTTGACTGTGAAAACAAATTGTTATTACATTTCAGTTAAAGATGTCATTCCCATTTTTCGGTCCCCTAGTCTTATGGACGCTTGCCATCAAATTTTCGGTAATTTAAGCTATTCAGTATTAATAATTTTAGGAAGGCTGTTATAAAATGATCTTGATTTTATAATAATGGAACTACTATGACTTGTTTAAGTCTCGTTAATTCATATTAAACACCATTACAGCTTTTTAGAATTATACTTATTTAAAATTGCCCGGTTTTCAAGCTAAGATTGTTAACGTCATTATCACCATTAAGGCACGTCATTTTTTCCATTGTGTCTAGTGTCACTTTCAAAGTAATATGATGAAAATTCACATTTATCATGTAAGGGTAATTCCTACAATACTTTTTGCGATTGTAAACAATAATCGTTTGTTTACTCAAGTGTTAATTGTTTGCGATGCTAAGCTTTTTATTTATATGATTCATTTATATTCCTCCAACTGGGTCGAATCAGAAAGGAATGAACGACCCAGCCATCTGTTTGTTTCATCTTATTGGGTTTAGTTGAAGTAAGCAATTACACATATCCAAAAGATTCAGTCTCAAGTAATGTGATTTAATTTATCATATGAAGAATTGAAAGTGAGATGGTAACTTATTACCCCAAAGTATTAGACTTTTAACCGCTAGTTGTTAACTTCGGACCCTATCCCACCAACTTCAATCTGGGCATCTGTATAGGATTACCAGGTGTTGTAACTAAAGCGCCGTTGAAAGCTAAGGACAGAAATTCGGTACATTACAGTATTGCGTTACATACTACAGAATCATATTACGTGTTTCGAAAAGTCTTTTAGTAGACGACTAGATATTACCACTGACTATAGAGCTGATTTCCTTATTACATTTACTAAATGAGAGATTCATATTGTATTAAGAAATACCATACCAGAAATTCATAAGTTATGTCTCGTAAAATCTCTCATAAGAACCATTTCGAAAATTACTATACTTAAAAGTAACCTTGAATTATTTAACGCACTTCAACCTATTAGCAAATGTTCGTAATGCTCAGGGTATAAGTTAGTGGACTAAATTGGTGTTTTGATCAGGAAATCACCCAGTTTCATGCAAGATACCTTCATCAGTACTCATTTCACAAAAAAGCAAATGTTTAGTGTTAATCATCTTTGAGAAGTTATATAAGCCGTAATTGGATTATTCTGTAAATGAAGAGTTTCTAATTAATCATATTTTATCTATAAAATAAATTTATGAATTTCCGAGTTTTATTAATTAGAATGATCAATACAAAGGGTTTAATAATATACTCGTTATGATTTATGTATGTCTAAATCAAGTTCATATTCAATAGTTTGGAATAATTAACAGAACAAAAGTATCCAAGAAATACGTCGACAAATTTCATACACTTGGTTGCCCTCACAAACTGGAAGAATGGAATATTTGCAAAATATAGTGAATTCATTGTATTTTGTTAATTTCCCGTTATCTACATACAACCTAATACATTTAACTATTTTCAATTATTTATATAACATTCCGTTTATTTACAATGTAATCCTTACCTTCAAAGAGTTGGTAGTTAACTCCTAACTGTTTTCAAAAGTTGAGATCATGAGTCAATTGAAGATAGACCATCATGGAAAAACAATTTTTGTGATATTACACAACATTCTATTGAATACCCTAAAAAATCTCGTTCTAAGCAATTACAAAAAATGTGTTAAAACTAGTTTAACTATATAACCTCGTTCATATTCGTTATTGACAATACATTTTTCATATTGAATATTGTAATAATTAATGGAAATAATTAAACATAATATATTGTAATACAATCAATTTGTTGTATCTTGTAAATATTCTCATTCTTGTTTTGTTCAGACTTTAACAAATGATTATCAGTATAGGGGTTGTGGAGATTATTAAACTTTTAATTGAGATCATGAACCGATTGATGTTAAACCACCCTTGGAAACCTTGAAGCACTGGACGCCCGTTTTGCCCTATTATAGGACTCCTCAGCAATACGCATCCACGATCCCGCTCGCAGGATTCAAACCCAGGGCCTTCAGTCTCACGAGCGAACGCTTAACCTACTGGACCACTGATCCGATATCCAATGGTCTTAGTGTCTAACATCAACAAATCCACGAAATTGAACGACCATCTTCCATTGTACTGAGGTAGATACCTGTCTACCTGACACGGATTAGCTCAACTGGTCACGGCTTCTCACTACAACTCCGAGAATTCCCTCACGAAGCTAGTCACTAGTGAGTAGATGTTAATCATCAGTTTAGGGGTTGTGGAGATTATTATCCAAAATAGTAAATCAGAAATTTAACGAAGATAAAATAATGATAAACTATAGCATTAACTCATTATAAACTGGTATTTCTGTTAAGTCGGCTTTCCGAGAACTGCAACAGAGCCTCCGGAAGCCCTGTAGGAGCCAAAGAGTCTTAGCCAATCAGAGCACGATGGAGCTTTCTAGAATGCTAACGTGGCGTGCTACTATTGGTCAGTAGCATAATATGTCTTTTAGCGGATTGGCCAAAATATGATGCTGATTCAACAAATGTTAACATGTATAAATACGCATGTTTTTCTGTACAAAAATGGAACATTGAAGTAAAGTACTTTTCGCATACTTTGCGCCTTCTCTCTCGTGTTCAGGTCGCTGTATAGTTCTAGCTTGGGGGTCTTCAAGAATAGTTTAGGAATCGAGTATAGCGTTCAAAATCGCAAGACTTATCAGTGGCGACGGGGATGGGATTCGAACCCACGCGGGGAAACCCCAATGGATTCAGAAATTATCTAATGCCATTCCTGAATGAGAAGTAGTGTCATTTCCCCATTGGTCAACATTCTTCCAACGTGTCATTTCCTTATTGGTCAATATTTATTTGTGTCATTTCCTGAAGGTTAAATCTTGTACAAATGTTACATTCTATTTTATGGTACGATGTAGTCTGTTTGTTTGGTATATAAACAGTGTATGTTTGAAATATAACGATTCATATCTCCGAGGCTGAGACTTGTGTTCTGGACTCAATTGGCTGGGCTAGACAGGGAAGCAGGACCAATCAGAGCTCTAGGCTGCTCGGTCGTATTTTGTGCGTCACTGTTTCGATCGATAATAGGCTGCTCTCTAATAGGCGGATCACACGTTATAACAATTTCTGTTATCGAATTTCGTGATATCATTTTTAGTTTGTCAGAATTAGTCATGACTCTATGAAAATAATGTCATCTGAACATCAGCGAGATCATCGAACCCTCAAAATCCATCTTAAAAGTTAATTATTTTACATTTAAAGGAAACTTGTATTGACAAAACAATAACGTTGCGATTTCATACACATAGTTCTGTTTATCATTTTGAGAAGAGCAAAAACAAAGATTCTAGAAGTATAACATGAATTTATTTTATTTGTTGGTTTTCATCAGCTGCCTAAACCTATGATATTTAAAACATAATTACGAAATGGGTTTAAATTACTTATATGAAAGAGTTTAGTTGAAAGTTATGTTGAGGACACATTAGTTGCTATTGTCTCACCTGTATCATCTATAGTTGCAAATGTACCTATGAATAAATTTGAAGAGAATATTCTCTTAAATATGCTCAAACTAAAAATAAGGCTAGGATATATTAATGATACTCGCGTGATATTAAAACGTGGTATACATCACTCATTGTCTGAGAAACTGAAACAGTGAATCATCCTAGTAACAAATGTAATTCAGAATCGAACAGCGGTAAATTACATTTTCTAGATTTTCGAATCAGATTAAAAGACACTAAATATTTCGATAGTGATTGTTTTCAAGAAAGCAATACACTAGAAAAAATATTTTAAATCCCCACACTCAATCAGTGCACTAATATCAATAGTCGTCGGTCTTTTAAGAAGAGTATACACTTTGATAACAAAATGATAGAAGCATGGTCGAGCGACCATTAACAAGATCTTCAAAAGAAATAACTATTCGAGAAATTCAGTATAGGGTTGTGGAGATTGTTAAGTTTTCATTAAGATCATGAACCGATCACTGTTAGACCACTATTTCTGTATCTGAATAGTAAGATATAGAATATTTGAATAAATTCAGTTACTAAAAGATAATTTCACCTGTTTGAACTTATCTACCAAGATTGTATGGATTATCGATGGCACATAAACCAGATATTCCAGTGAGACTAATTTTTGTATGTATACATCCTCATATCATATTGTAGCAAAGTGGTTGGCAGTCAGATTGAAATCATTCCACAAAAAATTTGTAAATCATAGTATTCAGGATGTATTTCCATTGGTTGATAAAATTAAGATGCAAACATCATTGGACAAATCATAATGTCTTCAGAAATAACACTATTAGTCATAAATTTTAAACTCATGAACACTATGAAACATATATATAGACAACGTAGGGAAGACGAACTAGAAACTTAAATTTCAATTAATCTCATAAGAGACTTATTACTGAGATCCACTATAAGCGTGAACTTCAGGCTTAACAGTGAAATCGATAGACGAATAAACGGGTTTCAATGGGTTTACAATTAAGTCTCATACTAGCTGACATTTTTTCTAACTAAACTAAAAATTGTTCCACTTAAACAGTTTATTCGAAAGTTTAAATCCTAATATCGATATATGGATGACAGGTTTAACCGCCATAAATAAAGTATATTACAACTAGAGGTTCTCAAGTAATTTACTGAGTACGTCCAGCTACTAAGTTTACATTTTAAAAAAAAGGGAAGATAGAATAGCGTTTTTGAACATTTTATTCACACAAAGAGCCGATGAATCAATAAGCAGGAATTTAAACAAGAAAAATACTTGAACAGACCAGTTTCCTTAGCTTTATGCCTCAACAGTACAAAAAGACATGATCAAAACTCTTATTTATCTAATAATTATTATATATTCCACGGACATAGTTGAAGAAAACTAAATGCATAGCATGATACTTTTAAAGATGCCACAGGTATTTGGAGTTCGACAGCGCCTTCAACGTCAATATTGAAGTCTTACAGAACTCAATTATATGAATGAAGAATATTCTTTTCAATAATTTATCATCAGGTCCTACAATTATATATCCAAATTAATCATCTGTAAAATTGGTCAGGTTTAACGCAAACTACATCATTTAAAATTGTAACATGTGAATAAAAAAGAATTTATTCAGCACCCACCCCTA